ATCTGTTTTAGATTGTACTATTTCGGAAATTCTTAGTTAGCACATTAATTCGAACACTTCCGATTATCCTACTTGGGTCACGATGGAGTCAAATCTTGGACAGTTGGATATTAATTCAAGTGAGGATGACTTTGAAGACTACATGGAGCGGTTCGAAATCTGGTGTATGACTAGAAAAGATAATAAGTATCATCAATGTACAGGTTGTTTCCTGACGTTTATTGTCAAAGAAGCTTATAACCTGCTAATGAATCTGGCTTTTCCAAAGACACCAACTTCATTGACAAATGAATCTCTTAAGGAATTACTACATCTAAAGCATTTAGTATGACGAAATTCACATGAATTATATGAGTGAAATCATTCACAGGATAAGCAGTTACCAAACCTTTGCCCAACTCTGCAGCCTGCTTTACAATTCTTTTTTGAATCATTTTGAAATTTTCACTAGAATTGGAACCATTATTGAACAAACACGAGCTTGAGCGACATTCATAATGTATTTCATCATGACGACTACGTAAAGTGCTATTCTCTGAAGTAGATCACATTGAATCACGAAGCGTCAGAAAATCTAAGAACAAAATCATCTTTCTACTCATTGGGATATTACAATTATATTATTTTTATTAAAAGTCACTGACTGGAAAACAAGCTCATTTACTGTTTCTTAGTTAAGAAATGCTGTTTTAATTTTTGGAATAAACTTTCAGATTTTTGGATTAATTCTCTTTCTAAATTCGTAATATTTACCCCAGAAATCAACCAATCACAAAGTTGAGTTTCCAGTTGGTCTCCAAAATTGCATTTCACGGCCTGTTTCGAATTCAAAGTCTTGGACCTTCTGATCATTTTATCATATTATTTTATGAAACTTCTATCTTTCTCCGTGCATTAAAGTTAGCACACTGCACATGAATAAGTAGAAATTCCTTGAGAGATCCATGTGTTAATGACATTGGTGTCTTTGGAAAAGCCAGATTCATTAGCAGGTTATAAGCTTCTCTGACAATAAACGTCAGGAAACAACCTGTAAATTGATAATATTTATTATGTTTCCTAATCATACACCAGATTTCGAACCGCTCCATGTAGTCTTCAAAGTCATCCTCACTTGAATTAATATCCAACTGTCCAAGATTTGACTCCATCGTGACCCAAGTAGGATAATCGGAAGTGTTCGAATTAATGTTCTAACTAAGAATTTCCAAAATAGTACAATCTAAGACAAATAGAACTAGATGAGCACAAATGGAAATTATAAACAATGTAATAATCATAACAGTAATAGTTATAATAGTAGCAATAATAATTGTTGCAATCCAACCATAAGCTGAACAAATTATCTGCGAATACATATTACAATGGAAGAAACGATACACATAAGGGAAAACAAAGTAATAGTCATAGGGTAAACATACATGGGTGGTTTTTCTCACTATGTTAGTACCGAAAGCATACAAAGTTGGCCATACGACGACATGATTATGAATAATCAAATAAGTTACATTTCAACCGAATAAGCTGTTGGTTAATCGTGGACAGTTTTCTAATACCTCACTCCTCTTTTAAGTACATGTTGATAATGTTGTTTGGAAGGATAGTGGAAGTTTCACTATTAAATCATCCAGCTCAAAGAACACAACAATTTCAAAGTTCTATTTTTCTATCGTCTGATGATTTTGTAGTATTTTCGAAAGTTTTGTGCATCGAAAATATTGCTTATATTATAAAAGGCAAACTATATCTCTGTTGTGTCCATTACGTTATAGAATAGTTAAAATGAGTGATAGTGGATGAGAGGTTAAAACACTAGATTTTCAATCAACAGATTGCAAATTTAAACCCTATATACTCACAATTCGCAGGAAATACTAAAATATATATTGAATTTTGTGATAAAGAAGTATACACTTAACAAAGCATCTGATAAAATCTACAGAGTGTATTCCTGGTGTAATTCTAGGCACGTGTATTCTCTGGAAATCAACAGATAAGATCATACACAAGATGATATACACAGAGACACACACACATGTACATTCAACAAAGTCAGTATTCTGTTTGTTGTCACCGTAAGAATGGTGAATACTTTCTAATTGTCTAATGGTTTGATTATATGTGATTATTGATTGAGAATCATTTGCATATTTTATTCTCATTTGAAATTTGTATTTTATACGCTACTTCTATTAACAGGCTAGTAGTTTAACACCCACATTGACATAAACTTGTGCAAGAGAGAGAAATAAGCAGTAGAATGAGTTTTTTCGATCAATAAGTGAATAGTTCTGGTTAATTATTAAAATGTATCTAAAATTAGAAACACCATGTGTACTAAAATAAACTACGATACTACATAATTGGGTTTAGCATAGAAATACGCTAATGTACATAGAGTAAAACGGTTAAAAGGTAATCAGCTTGCAACCAATATATTACAAGCAGATTCGACCAAAGTAACTACTTCGGTTTGGAGAGTCGGACGGTAGTATCACTAGCTGTCAAATGCAAAGTGTAGTTCAAGGCTTAGTATACGAACAAACATTTATCTAAATTAAAGGAGTTGGATAAGTTGAACGGAATAAGGATTGACAGTTTACTAAATCTTGGTGACAAGGAATATTTCGAAATAATGGAGATGATTTATGTCTACCTCCGTTGAATGTTTCAGATGATGTTTCGTGTTCCATTTGGTTGAATAGTTGATAGTCACAATGCTTACTTCTGGAGAACATCCTCAACGATTTCTGTAAATCAAAGTTAATATTGGTCAGAATAACAGCATAAGCTTCACAACTATAAATCATCCAGCTTAACTGAATGTAATACCAACAAAAGAGTTTTCTACTTAATCATATCTTTTAGTTATGAAACTGACTCAGATAACAGACAAGAAATACTTTGACAGAAACCGTCAGATAAGAAAATTATGTTGAATATGAAGCAATGGTGGTTCAACTGTCTGAATTAAATACTGTGATATGATATAAATAGTTTTTCACTATAGATATCAAAGTTCTATCAGTCAATGAAACAACCCAGTGCATTAGCCTATGTTCAAGCTTATCTTGAGTTCTATTCCACTTTTCTAAATAATAGATACCATAAGGAGATACGTTTTCAGCATCAAATGAAACAGAATAGCTGGTGATTAAGGATTAAAGACTACCAATTGATAAAATATTGTAGGATCATAAAAATTAGCTTACAGAAAAATCTATAAATCTATATCAATATCAATTAATTTGCTTTTATTTGTAAGGGCTTTATTTTGTCGTTGGTGTTAATGACTGCAATCAATCAGTCTCTAGTAGGACACGTGCATCACGAGAGAATTGCCTTGATATTCTCAATTAGCTATAAGTTGAAGATGGGATTTGAATGAGATCTGGGACATCTGTTTCGGTCTGTTTAGGAATTGTCAACTGAACATGTCTACACACGAAGTTTAAACTGTGATACTCAATCTCAGTTAAACTTTGTAAATAGTATATGTTTGAGCATCAGTTTCTCATAAAGTTGATGAAAACTTTTGAGAATCATTTAAAGCATTACCATATACGGAGACTCAAATTCACCTCAGTAAAACTGGATTCAATAAGATTGGGAAATATCCAAGTAGTCATCTATTAGCAAATTTGTCTTGATGTTTAATAGTTCTAGTTGACATTTGATTTGTAAGTAAACGAAGTAGTGATTAAAGGCAACATGGATTTATATTTCCATGTTTAAGATATAAATAATAGATTAGTCAAATCATGTTTCCGTTGTTCAGAATTTAATAATTAAAACCTTGCATTTCTGAATACGTCATAATCATAGGAGCTTTAGAGATTTTTACTGATCTATTCACTCATGTATAAATCATTGTAACTTAATTAATCAAGTTGTAGATTGAAACAAACAAACAAGGAATAGAATATATATAGTATGACGAGATGAGATCAACAACATGAATAGCAAAACAATCGAAATAGTGTAATAGCAATGACAGTGTGAAAGAATAAGGATAGTTTTAAGGGACAATGACAATGTGTGTATACACGAATGATGTCATCCAATGATAGAGTAAAGACATATGAGGCATTGTGAATGAATGAGCCAAATCATTCAACGTTCCCACTCACTAGTTGCGTAAATTGCAGTCACGTTATACATATCTACTAACTGCCTCAGATCGACAGTTAATGACTGTATGGTATGATTTCATATTTTAATTTGACCGTCTCTAGTTTTATTTCAATCTACTCGTACGCCGGCAAACGCCCCCAAATGCCCTGGTATGGCCGAGAATGGGGTGAGCCCGCCCTTCCTCTCGAAATGATCTCACATGGCCACGCGTATACAGCCTCTGACAGGGAAGTCCTACTCACTGCATTCTCGTGGCGGGGGTGTTGTTTACGAAAATGAGAGGACGAAAAGCGAATGTCCGGAGCTTTAACCGGATTCCAAATCAATGGTGCACATGGGCTCCAGTACCCTAAGGGAACAAATGGCGTATGAACCAATTATTGGTCACCGGCTACCATGGGACTGCATCTCCTCACGATGCTCCACTGCCTTGTGGGTCAGATCTCTAGCTCAAATGCTTGGGCTGTGGCCTCCTAGGAAAACCAATTGCTTCGGTCTGGGCACCCTGGCAGTATCACAGCCCACACAAATAAAATGAAAATGACGATAATTACTGAAAATCCCATTCAAGCTTCGATTTAACAGTCAAACAATTCACATTGTTATTAATATTAATTATCACGTCACTTATTCACTCTCTTTTATTCCCACTCTGTGTGTCCTTATTTTTCGAATTATACAGCAGCTCGCCTATGGTGGAAACTCGGTTCTATTTAAACGTTCTCGAGTCACTGCCTGGTTGAAAATTGTATGCTACCCACAAATACGAATACTGATGCAGTTTTTCTGAAACCACGTGCACCATTCAAACTGGCTGCCTCCAACGTTTGAACACTTACGTAGATTTGACAACAGATAGTGCTGAATTTGTCTTTATAAAATCTTAATATCGATGTTTGCTGTCTATCCGAGACCCGTATTCAAGACTCTGGTGAAGAACTACAGATTCGCTCTTCATCTGTCACTTTGAAAAGCTTGTTTTACGTGGGCTTATCCGGGGACCCTGTGGCATCTAAGTCTGGTCTTGCTGGCGTTAATGTCGCACTAAGCGCTAGAGCTGAGGCAGCACTAGTCGATTGGATCCCCATTAACAGTCGGTTATGTGCTGTTAGATTAGAAAGTTCCATCAAAGTGAGAAGAAATCGGCGTGAGAAACGATGTCTTTTCGTCATCTCCGCCTATGCCCCGACAGATTGCAGCCCGGATGCAATCAAGGATGAGTTTTACCACCAGTTATCTGTTCTTCTCCAGAAAGTGCGTTCGACAGATATTGTAGTACTAGCCGGAGACTTGAATGCTCAGGTCGGGCGTCTAGGCACAGAAGAGAGTCGTTTAGGTGGCCGATGGGGACTTGTTCGTCGCAGGACAGAAAACGGGGACCGTCTACTGCAACTGTGCACAGACCACAACCTGTTTCTGGCTAGCACTAACTTCCGGCACAGTCATCGCCGATGTGCCACCTGGCGTTCTCCCTCTGCATCTCAAGCCTGGACTCAAATTGGTCACATCGCGATCAGCTACTGCTGGCGTGGTTGTGTACAAGACTGCCGCTCCTTTTGGAGTACCTATAAGGACTCGGATCATGAATTGGCCTGCGCCAATCTTACCTTACTTTTCAGTGGCCAACGAAGTGACCCCCACCAACGGATTGATGTTAGCAAGCTGGTTGCAACTTCTGTTGTTAGTAAGTATCGAACCGAGCTAGCTTCTAGGCTAGCTATCATTACACCGAAAAGTATAGATGAGCATTGGTTGCAATTTCATGACGCCATGAAAATATCGGGTAAAACGCTTGCGGTTTCGCGAAACGTCCCGCTTTAAGCACTGGGTTTCTTCAGGTTCCTTACAACTCATTGAAGCCCGTCGGTCTACTCCGGGTGACCGTGAGTTTGACCATAAACGAAGGATGTTACGTGAGGAAATTGGGCAAAGCTTGCGTAAGTACCGAGAAGCCTGGTGGTCAGAGTTTGAAGCAGCAGCTGCATCTGGTAACTACCGGAAGCTCTTCCAACTCATCCAAGCCACTGGGATCAAGAAGTCTGGTGTGAGCGAAACAATCTGTGAGGATAACGGCATGCCAGTCGCTAACCTCTATCAATGTCTTGGGCGGCGGGCAGAATTCTTCGAAGGGCAGTTCAACTAGTCTGCTGCCCCGCAATGTCGATAAGACTGTCCCGTCCTCCATGACCTGCGACGACTAATCCACCCAACGGGATGGAAGTACGCAATCAACTACAACTCTTGGAGTGCTACAAATAGCCAGACCCAGATGACTCAGTTCCGGCCCTTTTTAATACTGTTGGTGACTTTCCGGTTAAGGAACTGACTACGTTGTTTACAAAGTTCTAGGGACTAGAGAGTATTCCAATATCACGGAATGAGTCGATAGTTGTCCCTATCTTTAAGAAAGGTTCACATCGTTCCTGTAACAACTATCGGGGGATAAGTCTACTTCCAATTGCGTCCAAACTATTGACCTCCGTCACACTTCGTAGATTGTTCAAAACCCGAGAAAGATTGACATGCGAGGAGCAGGCTGGTTTTCGTTCTCGTCGAGGATGTATTGATTATATCTTCGCCCTCCACCAGATGTTAGAACACCGTCATACTTATCACAGGCCAACAATCATAATGTTTCTTGACATCAGGGCTGCCTTCAATTCGTTGGACAGGACTGTTCTCTATGACTGTCTGTTGAAAAAGGGTGTGTCTGAGAAGTTTATTAACATCTTAAGGGCCCTATATACAAACACCTCAAGCAGAGTGAGGGCATACAACCACCTTTCTTCATTGTTCCATTCAAGCAGTGGGGTTAAGCAAGGTTGCCCAATCCCACCATTCGTCTTCAACTTTGCCATCGATGACGTTCTCGAAACAGCTCTGATGAATATAAGTAATGGCGATGTGGATCTGTTGCCTGGAGAAAGACTTCCTGACCTTGAGTATGCGGATATTGTTTTACTGCATGATAATGCCCAGGCCATGCAATCCGCACTTAATCAGTTGGCAATCAATGCCCGTAGGTACGGTATGTGCTTTGCACCTTCGGAGTGCAAAGTAATTTTACATGACTGGCAAGACCATAAACACGCGCTCACTGTTTGTGCTGAGCAGACAAAAGTAGTCGCGAGATTTGTGAATCTGGGTAGCTGCATAAGTGTTGATGGCGGCGTGGGTGATGAGATCAATACACGTATAGTGAAAGCCAGAGCGGCTTATGCCAACCTGGGCCATCTTTGGTGCCTTCGTGATGTCAGTCTGGCTGTAAAAAGTCGGATCCACAACGCGTTGGTGAGAGCAGTTTTGCTCTATGCTCGTGAAACCTGGCCTCTCCGAGTTGAGGACGTTAGACGACTCTCTGTGTTTGATCACCGTTGTCTCCAAAGCATTGCTAACATCCAGTGGCAACACCATGTCAGTAATTCAGAGGTTCGGCATAGAGACCATAATCCAATTGGTGTCACCATCTTGAAACGTCGACGTTAGTGGCTTGGATATGTTCTACGAATGTCGTCCCAGAGAATTCCACGTCGTGCATTATTTGCCGATGATGGGACTGGTTGGGAAAAGCGCAGAGGTGGTCAGTGTATGAAAAAAAGCTGCAAAGTTCTGGCGTTTGTTGGCCCTTCACGACTCCCTGGCTGGGGTCCGAGAGATGGTGCAACACAGTGACTAGAGACGTTATCAGATATGGTTCAGAATAGAAGCCAGTGGCGATCCTGCTGTAACTTTATTTTACGTTCTTCATAAAAAGTGGTTGTATCTTCTTTAACTGAAAGATTTCTTCTGGTTGTACCTTTCCGTCTCCCCCATTATTACACTACTTTACACTAATCTGGTCGTTATTGCTCTTTTTTCTTTTACGCTCCTTACCTTCCTTTTTTTCTCTTCCCATTCTCATTGTTATTTTGTGGCGAATATATATTTGATGCCCCCTTGTACCAATATTTATGTGTTGAAATAAAAAAATAAAAACGCCGGCAAACATTGTTCGTTGAGGTAGGCGATGGTTATGTGTACTTGAGACATGTCCCGACCACCTCGATTATTAAATATTCACTAACTCACCAGCCGGTTTGCCTAGCACCTACTTTATGACCAACCTCAACACTACTCACTCAATCGTTTCACGACACGTGATCAAAAATCTGTAGCATACTCGGGTTTATATATTTCGTTACGAGTAATAAGTTAATTAAATGAAGATTACAGATAACATGCCTGGGAATTACTGGTTGAAAACAGACTACTTCAATCTCTAAGCACTCGCTGCTTCATTTATATGCTGAGCAGCCATGGATCAACATAACCGACAAAGGACCATAATTTACACATTGAACACTTGATAGTGAATAATTATTCACTGCTATTGTGACTGTTCTTTTCATCATACCTTATTTTGATTCGAGTTTTTACAAACACAAATAATAGCTGTAATTGTTGAATGCATAATTATTCATCTAGGAGTTGGTTAAAAGTGTCTTACGAAAACTATTCGATTGATTAGTAGGGGTTTCAGAACCATATTAGTACCGTTAATACATTATCAGTTTAGCATAGTTTAACTATTACTACAGTACTTTATCCATCAGTCAAGTGATCCACCTTGTACGAGTATAATTTTCGCAAGGAAATAAATGTTTACAAAAAAAAACGACAAAATTATGTAGCAAATGAGCGAAATACGCCACTCAGCAATTTAGTTGTAATTCTTGTTTTTAAAAAAGCACTTAGTGTATTGATTTCGTAAGTTCCATATATGTATTAAGTGACTAATTTATCTATCTCGAATACTGTTTAGTTTAATGTATCCAAATTTACCTTTTGGTCAGATAACAACAATATTTCTTGTTTGGTTAAACAGAATAAATAATCCATCCCAGTTGCAACAGCAATGCATGACATTAAATTTGATTTAAAACATTTCAAAGAAATCGCGACTAGATCATCAAAGTCAACAGTTCGAAAGGAAGTACTGCACACAACAATATTGACTAACGACACAAACAAAGTCTGACGTGGTAATCCAGAAGCGGTTCTGTTTACGGGGAATAAATTAGATTCGTAATGAGTAAATTTCAACTAGTTCACCGAATTTCAGCGATAACAATAGATTTGACCTTTTAAAGATGTACATAATTTACACCACGAACTGGCCTAAGCTAGACTACAATTGAAAATCAGGTGCTAGACAGCTGTTTCGCCTTAATATAGGACTTCTCAGTAGTGCACATCTATGACCTCGTCAAAGGGAAGAGAAATCAGGACCTTCAGTCTCGCATGCGAACGCTCAACCCCCAGAACAGATTCAGGACCCAACAGTGTACATATATAACCCCAATCAATCCAGGATGATAAGCCGCCATTTTCTAATGCCTGAAGTAGATAACTGTCTCACATCCGACATGGTTGAATTTCAGTGGTCACGAATTCTTACTAGAAATCCAGGAATGTCTATGATTGATTCCTGGAAATTTCTTAATGGTTCAGGAAAAAATCCTTCGTTTGGAAAGTGCACATATTAAATTGAAAACTTCACATTGTTTTACTGTACTGGAGAGTGGGAGGTGAAACATACACCAAAAAGTTGTGCGGGTCAGACAAATATTTCTTTCTTTCACTTCAAATAAAAAGTCCTGGTCGTGTTTCAAAACAAAGTATATATATATATATATATATATATATATATATATATATATATATATATATATATATTTAACACATAAATAAGCTCGTTTATAGAACTTGACGTTGTAAAATAATGAAAAAAGCTGATAATTTATTTCGCAACTTATCAAAAATCAACCTGTTGAATAGGGTACTTTAATGATTTACGGGTTCAGAATGAAGGTTGGTCTTAACTCATAACACGTTGTACAAAAGCTGTTGAAAGAAAAGAAAGATAAAAAAGGATATATATATATATATATATATATATATATATATATATATATATTGTTTTACGTACCTTCAATGAGATATATAGGTAAAGCTACCACATAGTTGGATGACCTTAAGAATTTAACCAGTTTTAGCCAATCATCAAGGGTGAAAACGAATGATTATAAGACGGGAAGAGCTTAGAACTCAAGTTTCAATTACTAAGTAGCTTCAGTCGAGTAACGTAATATGGTGCCATGTTTAACAAACAAATCTAAACTTATTCCACTAATACACTGAGCGAAGAGTGTATTTTATTAAATGCAATATGTATGAATTATTGATTAAAATACAGCTCTATGTCAGTAAACTCATATTCTGAAAGTTTCGTCGAAATAATAGTTAACTACTAGTCACCATAAATCATGAGTTTACATAGTAATTTATTTGACCATTTAATTATCTTATGTAGTTGTTCAAATTTTGATATATGCGATAGTACTAGAACTCGTTCAGTGGGCTGGTTTTTGTAACCCATCTATACCATACACAGTTCTGTTTATTCAACCATGAGTCACATTATTTATGTGCAGTTAGTGATTCACTTGTTGACTTAGAATATGCAGATGGTATAGTTCTCTTTAACAAAGATGCTGACAAAATACAGTCTTTTGACCGCCTCTAGCAACAGTGGGGTACTGGTGGGTACAGGACTGTTGTTTCTTTTAAAGTAACGCTTTTTAGTCTGACCATGCATCCGCACCTGAAACCAAAATACTAGGAAAAACCATTGGATTTTAGAGACTCCAGCTGCTCGAAAATTTATCCCGGTAAGGTCGAAAGAACGATGAATAGTAACAGCTTAAGCCAGGTCTAAGAAAACATTTACACAACAATCCTGAGTAGTCATCGTTAAATAAGGCAGTGATATATAACAACAGACAATTGTCCCGACTCATTGTCAGCACCACCAAGTTGATTTAACTCAATAATAGTATCTCTAATCTATGCATTTTTAGATCGAAAACAAGTGCAAACAATTGGGTACCAGGAAAGGTAATACACGAGACTAGTATAATAATCTTGTATTTTTTTTTATAAAAAACCATTTACCTTCATATGGTACAAGACCTTGACTATTTTCTAAACCAGATAATAATACATCTACTTCATCATCTCGTAGTTTTTCACCTAGTGCTGTTAGTAGATGTCTTAATTCAGCTGCACTAATTAATCCATTATCTTCTTTATCAAATACACGAAACGACTCAATAAACGTTTCTTGATCCACTTCCACTTGTTCTTTTAATAAACCATGATAAATTGGAACGAATGATTCGAAACTGATACGTTCGTCTGTTAGGGGAAAAGGTAGAACAAGATAGGAAGAAGTATTCAATGTATTCACAACTAGTCTTTCATAAATAATCTGACACATATGTGTATTCGTTTAAGTTTCCACATCATATTAACACATAATGAAATCAACTAGTCAACCTGACAACTAGATGAAGCTGCAAAGATAAATACCGAAGTAGTAGATAGTATGATTTATAGAGAATGAATTAGTATAACATGAAGTACAAGATAACTTTGAAACCCAAGACCTGGAGGAAGATAGAGAGCGGATGCAACTGCATCGGTGCGATAGATTCTGGGCGTCACTCAATTTCTCTAGCCATCGGTTACGAAAATTGGGGGACCCCAACAATGTATTCTGCATCTACTAGCATGTTTCACTACAACAGCCAATAGCTTCACGGACTGATATTATGTCTTAGGATCTGGGCACCCCTAACTTTATTCCAACCTACTCCTACTCCAGTTATCATTGGACGTCAAGGTAAGTGATGGCTATGGATTCGCAGCACATGCTCAAGCCACACCGGTCGATGAAAATTTATAGCCTCACAGACAAGTTTGCGGAACAATGTTTCAATAAGTAATACAGTGGTTAGAAACTGAGCGCTTTAATCATTCAATCAACCAATCTAAGACAACATTTTCAATTTAAATGTACGTCTGATAGTATTTAAGCATGTACTTACCGTCTGAATTAAAACAATTTTTTTTACTACCAGCCTATGTATCAAAAGTATTGTCCTGTCTTTATTAAATAACAATGGGCAGGAATCAAAAGAGAATAGACAATTAACTTTGATTACAGGAATATATAATGAAACTACCGACTGGTGAGCATTTTGATAAAGGAAACACTTTAATTAACGAAGAGAATTACATATCCTTCAATTGACTTACTACAATTATCTTGGTAAGATGGATATTATGAAATAACTACTTTCTCTAACACTTTTAGTGCATAATTTTTAAACTATCTATTTGGGATTTACAGGTCATTCTTTAGCGGACTAAACTAATACGTATTAAGATCGCAGCAGCACAATAGAAATGAAGTTACTCCTACTTGTAGAACGTCATGGAATAAAATATTATATCCATCGATAGTATTTTGATATAATGAGTGATTCCAAAAAGATCATATGCTACTTAAATGCCACACTGAAGTGAGAAATAGAAATGTGGGAAGACAAAATATTCACCCAACCAAGGTCACTGTCTGCATATCTCGATCTGAATTAGTCATATATATATATATATATATATATATATATATATATATATATATATATATATCCAGAATGTTGGTGTTAGTTATATAGAGAAAAAGAATGTGCTAACAAATGGTTTCAATGATTAAGGTCAGCAAGAACTAAAATACTTATTATGGAGCGATAAATTTCGATGCTTGAAGAACTCGATTACCAATTCTTGGAATACATACAAGTTTAAACACTTTAGACAACAGACACATGACAAGCTTAGCCTACAGATAAAACGAGTAAGTGAAACTCCAGTGGGTATTTCAAAATAAACTTATCTCGACAAATATTACCAATTTAATCTTCAGTGCACTTTAGAAATCACACAATTAAATAACTTCTTAGAGAACTGAAACCAAGAATTTGGTCAATACACTGTCGATAATATAAATTAAGAGAATATTGTTTCCTGTCATTTTCAAAACTAGATCACGTTATATCAAATTGCTGTATATTATATTCGTAAAAACTCACTTGGATTATTTTGATAGCCATATTTTCCAATGTCCGACTCTGTTGGATTTAGACCCATTGCACGCACAACTTCGCCAATATCTTTCGCCTCGATTTTTTCATCTCCTTTTGTGTCAAACAGTAGGAACATTTCGTGAACATCTATTTACACTCTAAACTACGATATAAAAACATACCATTAAGATCCTTTTCACTTAGGTCAACCTATAATCAGTTAAAAACAAACATAAAATGTTGAACATACCATTTCCAATGCAGTAAAATTACTTTGTAGATGCACGGTTAGTAACTAAATATAGCCAATTTTCAAATGGTTCGAAAAACCTGTGAAATAAAGCATATGAGAAAGTAACTATAGACTGGAATTTAGTGAACACATTAGGAAGTAACTCTAGGACTGATGGTAGGCGTTCGATAGAAAATGAGATGCTATATATTGCTTTGTGGGAAGCACAGGCTTTTCGGTTGTAATTTGTGTGATAATTAGGTCATACTTCTAACTATTTCTTGGAGTTACATAGATGAACTTACCATCAGTTTCGCGCAAACGTCTAACTTCTAGACTACTGGACCGGCGTCCAACAGCGTTAATGTCTAACTTCAACCTATCCACGATATTGAGAAACAGAAGGCCCTGGGCATGAGTCCCGCGTGCGGAATAGTAGATGCACACTGCTTAGGATTCCCATACTAGAATGAAACGGCCGTATAGCCCTCTCAGGCTCTTAACAGCAGTCTGATGTCAATCGGTTCATTATTTTGATGGAATTCAACAATCTCCACAATTCCATGCTGAAAATATTTATCGACTTTGTGTATGATATAGCCCAATTTTTAGCGTCTTAAAAAAACATAAAATGTAAGAAGCCTCAACAAAGTTCACAAGACAAGAACCAATAACTTATCAGCTGCATGCCAGATGCCCTGTCGAATTACCAACCAGCAGTGGTTGAGATTGAACTCCTTACCTCGACATGTGATGCTCAGCCTTCTGAGGCGTTAAAGGGAGAGTTGAATCAACTGAAGGACGTTTATCGCCAGAGATTATACAAGGTACTCATCGTCTTACTGACCCGATATTGAAAGTGAAAGCGGAAATCGCTATTAATAGCGATTTAGACAGTAGCTGATATTAATGAGATATCAGCTACGATACTCAAGTGTCGAGTAGCCTTTCATAATACTTCCAAATCAAAAGGTATCTAAATCCCTTTCCGCTAGCAATAATATAAACTACCGTCTACCTTCTAGTGCCTACTATATTGTGCAACAGACTTCGGAATTTGCAGGACTATTCGAGTTTGGCGGCGAATTAGGCCTGGAAGAACGACCCGCTGAGAAACACTAAAACAACCTTGTTATGCAACAAGTGTTTTCGGATTAGAGGAAATAACTAATCTCAAATACATCATCTTATCTCTTCTTCGGTTCGTGCTGTCGTAAACATGTTTTGTGTCAATGTTATGAGTTCACTTTCGTGATACACATCCAATATTATCGCTCTAAGCTATTATAAACCAGTAATCTTCGTTCTCCTCGCTTCTTGATGCTACTGTGAGGTTTCGGGTCTGTCCATAAGAACCCTTTTCACTTATAACAATGGTCGACCCAGAGCAGAAAGGATTTTTTCTGATAGAATTATGGAAGATAAGTCCTTTCAGAAACATTTACGTATACACGGTGTATTTTTTGCAGTACGACGACAAATTCAGAGCGTATATGATTATATACCTATAATTGCTTATCTGTTTCGACTATCTAACAGGACCACAGGTGTACACCTTCAAAACATATTTAATCACATAGTATGAATAATTATGCTTCAAATTTTAGATTATATAAATTAATTTGAATTTGGATGCTACAACTTACATAATTCCTGGAACTAACTGTTCAGTTCGTAGGCAGATGACTCACTAACCACACGAGCGCTGTTCAACTGTGGCCGATCATAAGAAGCTTAAAGTATCCTAAATTATAATGAGTTCATTCTAGTTCATTTTCTACTGGTGTAAAAAAATTATCACTAGCATTCACATATTGTGTTTTTTACTTACTTACCGTCTTACTCTTAAATTTCGCAACCCTAAACACTTCTTCCGTATTCTTTGATCAGATATCTGTCCTCATCACCTGTTAACAACATATCATCTGACCAGTATCTTACACCATTGATTAACTTAAAAGCAGTGTGATATAGTAACTGCACATCTAACCCACAATACAGAAGCTTTGGCTGTCTGACATGCTTGTAACATGGAACTAGTAGAGAGGGTATTCCAATAAGGTATGGAATATAGAGCTAAGATTAAGACAGTATGCATACATACCACAAACGTAAAAGAGCCTAACATCACAAAATGTGGAAGGGTGGCGTTACTAACGAGTAAACATGATGGCAAAGGGATAACTTCAGCCCACTCATGCATGTAGTACAGGACATCTTGACAAATTGCACTTCCTTATGGCCTAGTAGAATATCACGAACAAGTGGTATTGGTGCTAGCTTATTATGGCAAATATACATCCTTGACTCACGTCAGTAACATTCAAATGGTTTTACATCCTACCGAGAAATTCTATTGCAAGCAAGACTGATAAATTACGCTAAGTGGGAGTCCATCTTTGACTCCACCAAATTATAATAATAAAAACGAGTTACAATTACACTGGTGAAAAAACGCCAGTTGATATACGAATAGTGTGTTTTCCTTACTAAATTTTAAAAATATTTATAATGATAAACTTTCAGCTCTTTTCTAATAACTTCCATTTGTACAATCCTTCGTCCACTAAACGCCGTACTCTGGCTTAAAAATTGACCTAATAAAAGAAAATGAGTTTAAGCAGTCGTACCTCAGTTATTTCATCACAAATGACTAAGTTTCACTAGTCATGATCATTATCCGTCCCGCTTCTCCCTCTTCCTTTATTCCATCTCTTTTTTTCGGCATGCCCGTGGTATACCAAAGAAAACACTTGTGAGACTTATGACTTCACCATGAGTCATTACTAATACCTCCGGAATTTATCTGGGATCACTATGACGGAGCACAGGATAATGCACTTAAGTTAACTTTCATTCTAGTAACTGCCGACCAACAAATGCTTGTCGTTGCGCAATCCTCACAAAGCTCACCAACTCTCATATTGAACATTATAGTCTTGCTAACACTAATATCCTATTGTATGAAAATTCATCCTCTGTTTACATAACCAATATGCGCTATACATATCAACCCAAAAGAGCAATCTAATAAAGCAAAATATGTGGCATTTGTAACAATTTGGTCTAGCCTGTAGTCAGTCACACCTCATGTAACATACTGTTGTCTGTGAATGTATGTTATTATACTTTACTCTAAATATTACAAAATTGGAATTTAAACGGCAGGCGACATGATAACAGTCGGAATCAGTCGAGGGGTAGTTCGATGCCAACAAAGTTCTAAAAACAAAAGATAGGTGTGACATGGTATGAGATTGTAGTGACCTACTTTTATCAAGAGAACGCGATTGGTTTAATTGAAACAATTATTATTATAACCAATTGTACCAGTGACTGTTTTACTGTACTTATTTGTTTAACTATACTAAAACCATCCATTATTCTTCCATTCTTCATCTCGTTGATTGTGACCTTGCACGAACTTACGTTCGCTCAGTAAATCCGCTTGTACTCCTTTGATACGATCTCGGTATTCTTTCGATACCACGGAATCGCCAACAACCTTAAATCGCCTTCTGATATTTGGTACACAACCTTCCTGTAGTGGTGATTATAGTCAACCGAGACTCGACGCCACACTACGAAATGAACAGGTATATGCTATTGGCAGTAATAATCTTAACGTCTACGATCGGAACAATAGTGATTGTAATTGTAGCAGGCGAGATATGAATCCAGTAATCTGACACACTAAGTCTTAAAATCAGCTGACTCGCCGTAACTTGACAGCTTGATTGCAGCTCTAGAGAATTTAAGTTTTCAGTGTCTGCCACTGTGCTGAAAAGTAATTTTGTTAGTCTAAGAACAAATGTATTTACTCAGTTCACCACTTCCGCCTACATCAACTGCATTTTCAGTTGATCTGTAAGATAAAGCAGAATTTTGTGCAACTGTGATGAAAAGTAATTGCTGTTGTTTGTAAAGATTCAAGGGTTTCATTAATGAACAGGTGTGTAGAATTATGGTCTACTTCGATATTAGTACCTCTCTAATAATAGACTTAGTTCTAAAATTGCAGATTTGTCATGATGTAACTGCCTAATCCATAAGATCTTACGTGAAAGTCACATTATTATTTACACCAACTGATCGCATGGTACCAATCACCAATATATGATGGAGAACAAACTTTGGCCAGAGATAGAACAATATATTTAGTATGAATGAAAGATTACATTACAACAATTAAGAGTGACCACTCCTGCAAGGTCGAGCCATGCCGTCCGATCAATTCGAATTCTTTCCATTTATTGTTCCCGCCTTCTCTGTCGTTGGGTTTTTCGCCACGTCAAATGTTGAATATCTGTTGTCCCGAGAGTCTCGTGTTCATCATTGAGGATTATGTGGTTAAGACTCAATGCTACTACGGGTTTTTAGGTGCAATAACCTTAAGAATCAAGACATACCGTATAAAATACGAAAAAACAATAATGCCTTTTAAGCACCATTTTAAAACCTGACCTGAGTAATCACAAAGATGCATGTGATTAGGGTTGAAGCGAAAAGTTTATTCGGCTGTCTGCAGAGGCTCCCCTGTAGCAGAAGAGAAGCGTTTCTGTTCATATCATTCAATGAAGGGTTGCTAGTACCTGATTGAGTGCGTGGAGATAGACCTGACAACCTTATTTTGTAAATAGTTTTCAATGTTATTTGTATTCATTTTGTCAACCTTCCACTGTATGTATATTTAACATTAAATGACTGTAACTGTGTTTTAGTAAATGACCTTGAACACACTTTCCGTTGTGATTCTAGCATAGCGTGACATATTCTTGCTGGCTAACAAATACATTACTACTCACGCATCCCTCGTTCTATTTACGTTTGTGATTGAGTTAGCTGAAGTCTAAATCAAATGTTATCATTATTTATAGACTGTAATTGGAATATATCACATTCTACGTGGGATTATATCACTAGAGAGTTCGCCAACCTGCTCAGAATCATCAAGCATTTATAATTGTGGATTTACATTACCGGACTAATCAGAACACGCAACGTTGGGTCAATTTAAGTAACGTCCCTAATTTTTATTGTATTTGTAACAATTAACTGTATATATTGATCTTACTATTGATCTTTAGTAACTTTGTTTGTACTTTTCGCGTTCATATCTGTCTGGTCCACCACATTTATTTGGTGAGCCTCGATTTTTTTTTGACATCTATTATATATATCTACATATTTTTTTATTATTATTATTTGGCACGACACACCATTTTTGTTTTTGACATTATGAACTCTCCTCACAAACTTATCGATATAGATAGCCCATCAACCAACCCTTTTCATTCATCACAGCCAGAAGATAATGTTTTAAACTCAATCAACGCTATTTCTGAACTAAGATTACCAACGTACGGTGTTAATACTCCCAGGATATGGTTTGCACAGGTTGAGGCACTATTTTTGGCGAGAGGTATACGTTCGCAAGCGACTAAATATGCCCACGTCGTCGGTGCACTACCTATAGAAGTAGCAACGGAAGTCGGGGACCTGATAGATAACGTACCAGAAATGGACCCCTATGACAAAATAAGAGCCGCAGTAATCTACCGTACTTCGCAGTCTGACGAAAAACGCTTACAGCAACTACTCACCGCATGCGATTTAGGAGACAAAAGACCTTCACAGTTGCTTAGACATATGAGACAACTAGCAGGCTCATACAAGTTAGACGAAGCATTACTTAAGCAGATGTGGTCACAAAGGCTACCACATAGCGTCAGACAAATCCTCAGCATATCAGGAGCCTCTGTCAGTCTTGATGATTTAGCAGACATGGCCGATTAGATGATAGAAATATATCCCGATAGTCGCGGCGTTAACGCGATACAATTCTCAAGTAGAGAAAACATGAGCGACGCACTCAACATCCAACAACAAATAACACAATTAACACAGCAGCTAGCATCACTGCAGGCGACTATTTCCACCATCCATTCTCGACCCCCCAGATCTACGTCCAGAAGGAGATCAGTATCCAGACATCGTCTTAGGTCACCTAAGGGGGCAGCTGGAATTTGTTGGTATCATTCGAATTATGGTGAGAAAGCACGCCGTTGCA